AGAAAATGTGTACAGATATTTAGGGGCCATCTTAAGAGTCTTCCTGCCACACAGCACTCAGCAGAGAAGAAAACCTCTTCTATCACCCCATTGTGCGTGTGAATTTTTTCATAGCATTTGTGGAAATGCTGAGTTTGAACATCCCCCCCCAAAAAAAGTTCCTGCAGACACCTGATCTCCAAATTCATATGTTGAGGTATCTGGAGGAGGGGCTTTGGGGAGGTAATTAGGATGCAATGAGGTCATGAGGGTGGCACCCCACGATGGGATTAGAGGCTTTACGAGAAGGGGAAGAGACACCTGGGTCTGCACGTTCCCACCCTCTCACCACGTGATGCCCTCTGCCTTGTTATCATGCAGCCAGAAAGCCCTCACCAGGCGCTGGCACTGTGCCATCGGACTTCCCAGCCTCCAGAACCATGAGCTCAATAAATTCCTGTTCATTCATTTATAATGAATAATTTATAATGGACGATCTATATCCCATCCCAGGTATTCTGTTACAGCAACAGAAAACAACTATGACCCTGAGCAACCCGTCCTGAGAGGGCAGAGCTCAGAGCAGCTCTGGGGACCTCAGCAGAGGGGGTAGTGGGCAGTCCTGTATAAACTCTGCCACTTACGTAACTCAGACCTCTCTTCAGAATCTAATCTCTGACTGAGAATTTCAAATGGATGAGGCCAGCCTGGGGTGGAAGTTCATGTCCACTGTGGCAGAGAAGGCTTTATTCACACAGAATAAATCTGTGTGCCTCTGGACAGGGGAGCATGCTCTCAGAGGGAGGACAGGTGATGTGCCAGACACAGCTGGTGAGGCTCCAACGAGCATCTCCATCAGGAACAGGGTGGCTGTGGCTAGAGAGGATCCGTGTTGGCAAGCTGGGTCCTTGGGAGGCAGGGAGGAGCATGTGTAGTCACTGTGTCACATCCCAGGTCTCTCTTTGGCCCAGGCTCAGGCCCCACACACCTGTGCATACCTCATACAAGTCTCTGTGCATCATGTTAATGACCAAAGGAACCTGGGTGTCCTTCCAGGGTCACAGAGTAACTAGAGAAGAGGAGTTAGCGCAGGGTGGGACTGGAGCCTTACATGTTGAACCATATCTGCAAGCATGGCCATTATCAGTCGCCATCTTGGGCTGAAGTTGGTTACAAATGTCCTGACAAGTGCCAAAATTCTTTAAAGTATTTCCAGGGCTTTGGTGAGACTTAGGAGAGAGGATTGTGTCACTTTTGTTTCATATTTATCTCAGAAATTTTTATAATTTTACTGTCTTATATAAAACAAATTAGCGCTTTGGGGCTGGGGATGTAGCTCAGTGGTAGAGCACTTATCTAGCATGCACACCACCCTGGGTTCAATCCTCAGCCCTGCCAAAACAAACAAAGATCAAATTTTGCTGTTCATTGTTTCTGGTCTCCATCTGCATTGTGAATTTGTTGATCTTGACCTTACTGAATAGTTCTGGATCATTTTTTTTTTTCTTTTTGGGTTCTGGATATCCAGTACTTGTGGGGCAAGCTCTTTGCTACTTAAGCCGAATTCCCAGCCCTTGTTCCTGGAACTTTTTCAATTATAGTTAAATAATAGAGGTTGTAACACAAAGTCTCTCCACACATTGCTCGATGTCTTTTTTTTCCCTGAATGGCTTTCTAAGGCTGCTAATTATCATCAAACCTTGCAATTTTAAATACAATTGAATGATGGGTGAGACGGATTTCTTTAATAATGGTGTTTATAAATGTTCCTGAACTCAGGGAAGCCCGAAAATCAATGTCAAATTACTAATTGAGTACTAGAGAGGAGAGTGAGGGAAAGGTGGAAGGAACAAGAAAAATACAGGGGTACTCCCTGACTTCAAGAAATCACCTCCCTCCTTTTCATGGAAATACCATCAAGTCACATGAAACTTTTAAAAAGTCACAAGATGGATAATAAGTGTAGGAGAGAGAAAGAGGGGTTTCGGAGATGGTTGAGAATTTAAAAGGGCAGGCTGAGTTTTTGACTCATTTTCAAACTAGGATGTTTGCTATTCAAAAAAAAAAGTCTTAGGAATTGTAGAAAGATTAACACAGACCTGTAAAATGTGCCAGTTGGCTTGGAAGGAAGATATTGAACAAAATCATGCTTAATTCTACATCTAAGTTAAGGTGTGTGTGAGTGGTAGTGCTTGGGGTCACTGATGCTACCTTGGGTCATGTGGATTTGGAAACTGCAAAGGAATCTAGTTTTCTTAAGAAATGAATGAAAAAAACCTTCGAATAGGAGGGATCCACAGTGACAGAGCTCAGCCCACTACCTCAGAAATTGCTCTCTCTCCCTTCAGCTTGAAGTGCTTGCCTGAAGTTATTTGCCCTACCCTAGGCTACTTGCCTAGGTAACTAACCTAGTAAATTTAACAGGTTTAAGCCCTAGGCTTTGTGTGTTAATTCCACACTGCCCCCATACTAGGGATTGAACACAGTGGCTTTACTACTGAGCTACATCTTCAGCCCTTTTAATTTTTTGAGACACAGTCTTGCTAAGTTGCTGAGGCTGACCTCAAACTCATGATCCTCCTGCTTCAGCCTCCCACATAACTGGGATTACAGATGTGCACCACTACAACAGGTTGTTTCTTTGTTTTCTTTTTAGAATAACACCAGCAGAAACGTATCAGGGACTAAGTCTGCTTATTTTTGTGCCCTATTCTTCAGTGGGGTTCCATTAGTGTTATTCTTAAAAATAAAAATAAAAAGAGGTTCACAAAGTCCAGGACTTAAGTCTGAGCAGGTTCCTCTGTGTACTGAAGATCACAGACAATACGCTATATTTCGTCTCATTCACTTGTCGAGGGCTTTGGTCATACTCTGGACTAGATGAAGGACACGGCTGAGGACAGATTAAAAATCAGTCGAGGTGTTAGTGAGAAAGAGCTTCAGGTAGGGCCCAAAAGCATACTGGGGATGTTTCAGGAACAAAATGGTGACAGCCCAGTTGACGTAAATGAAGCCCAGAGAACTGCAGCAGGAATGAACATCAAAGACCAGGCTAGCCAGGTCCTGGAGCCGGGGCCTCCCAAGAGCTTTGACTTTGATCCTGAGATGGGAGCCACTGCAGGAGGGAAAAGAAACATTTCATGTTTTAAATGAATCATTCTGCATCTTTGGTTAACAATAAAGGTATAAATTTATGTCAAATATAAAGCAAAGACCACCAAGTTGCTGAGTTTATATACTTGCCAGGCATGGAATCTAATCAGGGGAAAGGTTCAAGGCCTGGAAACTCATCAGGGGAAAATCTCAAGAATCAGGAAAAGTCCTGGCTTTTTAAGTGCTAGAAAGAGGGAAGCAGGGGTGAGGTGGGGGGAGTGTTTCATGGTGGTTGTTAATCAAAGGTTGAAAATCAACACTATGGGGTGGAACAGCATTGATAAAGCATGTCTCTTTGTTCACTGGGCAGAAACAGAGTTCAGGTAGGTCTTAGAAGGGCCCGGCAATGGGGTCAAAGTCCACAGACCTTTGTCAGCTTCAGTTGGTCAGCACCAGGTATGGTATAACATAGCATTCCATTTTGACATCTAATAGGCAAGTGCTGTAAGTGGAAATTTTCCCTTTTACAGGTGGAAACAGGAGGACCTATTAGGAATCTCTAGTAGAAAGCCAGGCAGCTCATGCCACCGTGGAGGTGGTGAGATTCTGGATGCATCTGGAGATACATAAAGAATGACTCCTAGGGTGGGCATTGACCTCTGTGGACAAATGTTAGAGTCGTCTTGGAGATAAGAAGGGCTGTGGGTGGAGCAGGTTTGGGGGAAAGCTTTCGCATTTGTGTGGGTTTAAGATGTCTATTAGACCCATGAGGGCAACAGCAAAAAGACAGTAAAGTCTGGCTGGTGATATGAAGTTGAAACTTGAAAGGATCCAGATGGTGTTGAATGGCAGGAGACTGGATACATTCACCTGGGGAGCCAACGAAACAGAACTCCAAAGAGTCCAATAGTATTCTTTCTTCCTGGTTCCAAATTTAATACATATATTTATATATATACATATTTGATATACATAGATATATTATCACATGTATGTGTATAATGGATATATGTGTATAATAGAATAATGAAAGTGTTCTTATAAGCCTTCTAAAAATACTTTTGGAATGATGGAGGGGTATAAGTTGATCAACGAGTTGGGCAGAGTGACGCATACTGTAATGCCAGCAACTCCAGAGGCAGAGGCTGAGATAGGAGGATGACTAATTCAAGGTCAGTCTTAGCAACTTAATGAGACCCTGCCTCAAAAAAAATTTTTTTAAAAGGGGTGGGTATGTAGCTCAGTGGCAAAACAACCCTGGGTTCAATCCCCAGTACCCAAAAATAAATAATAATAAAGAAATTGATCAACGATGTTTGAAAGTCTCACTGTGCCTAGTGTTTTGAAAAAGGCATAATAATAATCACTTTTGACAATCTTCTATGAGAAAGACACTATTCTATATGCTTTACAAACACATCTTGCTTAATATCTGCAAATTTCTTAGGTAGTAACTAAACCCATTTTACAGATAAGGAGATGGAGGCCAGAAAAAAAATCAAGTACTTTGCCCAGCATCCATTCCATTTGGCTGGAATTGAAGCCAAAATGTATTTGAGTCTCTTATAACTCCACCTCCAGTGGTAATTTACTAATGTGGGTAGAGAGCAAAATGAACAGAAACTGAGGTGTCCCCACAGATTGCAACTCTTGGCATGAGTCAAGTTAGTGCGATGGTCTTCAGCCTGGATCCGTTCCCAAATCCCCCATTTGTCAAAACAACAATTGAAGTTTGTTACAGAGGCCTGGCTAGTGGGGGAGGGGCAACAAACCAGGTCTGGCCACTCACTCCCAAAACCACACAGAAAACTTTAATTGATATGGCCATACTGGGAAGACAAAAATTAAGATTCAGCAGCTCAGCCCTGTCTCCAGGGTGCTGTGCTAACAGGGCCTTAGGTTTTAACAGGGGAACAATTTTAGTATGTGTGCACACTTTGGCAGCACACATACTAAAATTGGTACAATACAGAGAAGATCAGCATATCCCCTGTGCAAGGACATGCAAATTCATGAAGCATTTCACAAATTAAAAAAAATACAGGAAGTAAGAATTTGGGGAGGGTGAGGCAAGAGGTTAGTATAATCAAGCAGTCTTGGTCAAACTGTGGTCTGGTTGATCAATCTCTGTTCTCTTTCCGTGAGGCGATGAGGTGGCTCTGGAGAAGTTCTGTGTCACTGGAGGGTGGAGGGCAATTTCCACTGGTTGCTCAGGATGTGCATTGATCAGACCTGTGATTCTGAAAGGGGGCAATGACTGGGGACTTCCAGGCACCACTTATAGGGGTCTGAAGTTGGATGCTGCAAATCTTCAAGGGGGACAATTGAGGTTAGCTAAATTACTAAGTTATTACCCGTTTTTAGATGAATGCTTCTTAAATGATTAACATGTCTAACTGCAGAGCTGAACAAGAACTAGACCCAAAGTTTAAGATAGCAAAGGAGTCAGATACAAGATGAAGGCAGAGAGGCCAGGCTTTATCCTACTTTTAGTTACTATTGGGCATATGCAGACCTGAAGAGTCACTGCTTTTAGCAAAGGTAACCTAAAATGCTATTAACTATCTAAACCTAGAGTCTCTGACTCCACAGATCTGGATTGTGGTTTGCTAATTTGCATTTCCACTGAGATCCCAATGCTGCTGCTAGGGATAACACTTTGAGAAACACTGGTTTAGCCCGTAGCAGGTTTTCCCTGCCAGCTAAATAGCCTCTACCTTCCACATGCCCAGGTCTCTTGAAAGCCCAAAAGAGGAGAAGGGAAGTTCACAACTCAGCTGCAGGAGGGTCTGGAGGATCTGGAGACATTTGAGTGTCCTGGCAGGGAGCAGATGGTGGGGCAACAGTGGCTCAACTCCAGGAGCTTGCCAACATACAGGTTAGCAAGTTGTCTAAATAATAACTTCTTTTGCTACTATATTATACTACCAGTGGTCTCATCAGCCTTTCCTGGCAAGAAACTTCCACCTCTTGTGAAGGAGAGAGTTCAGTTATGGTAGTTCTTTAAAGCTTACCCAACTCGTGGAAGGGTGCCTTTCAGAACAAGAATATAAACTTGAAAATAAACAACTAGTTGCTGGGCCTTGGGAGAAACTTGTGCAAGAAGGGTACTGCAGCCTAAGCCTCATTAGCTTCATGGGATTGAGTTCTGATCAAACTTGTCTGTATATGTCTAAGCTCCAATTATAGACATATGCAAGTTATTTCCCATGAGACTCCTGTGCTTCAGGCTAATATAGGAAGTGGTTGATTCCTGCCTAAGCGAACTTGAGCATTTCATGGTTGGAGAGGCTTGTTTGCCTTGAACCTGGCAATGGGGGAAGGGCTACTGCCTCCACACTGCCTCAAGTAGGACCCAGTTGAGGCACTTATCCTTGAACTTGATTTTTTTCCATGAGTTCAAAGCTTTTAGAAATCTTTCCTTTTTAAAAAATTCATCCTCAGCCTTTTTTTTTTTCTTTTTAATTGAGACAGCCCAGACTGGCCTTGAACTTGCAATCCTAAATTGCTAGGATTATAAGCATGCCTATCGCGCCTGTCCCTTTAGTTAAGTCTCTGAAATCTTTTCTCATCTGGTTTGTTCTAAGACATATAACGGGCAAACCTGGCTTTGTGAATATAGTGACACGCTGGGCCACCAGCTGAGCGAAGTAAAAGGGTGCTGGACATCTTTGAGGGCAAGACTCAAAGATGAGTGAAGAGTGACTCCTCCACATCCCCAGGAACACCAAGAACCTCAACCTGAGATGGAAAAGGCATCCAAGAGACATGATGTGGCTTGTGAAGGAGACAGCGTTTGATTTGGGCCTTTTAAGATATAGGAGTAGACCCTGAAGAAGCATTCCTAGACAGAGAAAGCCAGTATGGCCCCTGGGTGTATTTTTTTTTTTTCTCCTAAAGAACACTCTCCCTCCAGGGTCTTGGGGCAAGAAGGGCACAGGCCAGAGGATGCCAAGAAGCACCTCCTGAGTAATGGGGAACCACGAAGATGAGGAGTCCCAGGAACTGAATCAGACCAGGGGTATTCTCGACGTCAAAGCGACCTAAAGGCAGAGGCGCCATCAGAAGGAATCACTGAAATGGATTTTTCGCGCTTGGCCTGGGGTCTAGACCTGGCACTCAGGCACCTGGAAAGTTCTCGCATTGCAGCACAGACGAGAGCGCCGCGGCGTCCGAGACGCGGACGAAGCTCCCTGGAGCCCCGCCGCCCCGCCCCATCCCCGCCCACGTCCACGGCGGCTGCGCGGCGGGGCTGCCCGTCTCCACGTGATCGCCGCTACGCCTCCACGAAGCGTAAGCGGCCATCATAAGTCCTGGCGGCCGGGCCTGGGCCTGCCTCCCTTCTCTGTGGCCGGGCAACGATGATGGAGTCGGGTTGGGTGGTCCCAGACCCGTCTGGCCGGTAAAGCCGTGAGTCTCCGAGAGCGGTACAAGTAATTGGGACCCACGGACTCTGGGGCGGAAAGACAGGCCCAGGTGTCGGCACAGCGGGGGCGGTGCCCAGAGCCGAGCCCCGCCCCTCGCAGGCCAGCGCCCAGGACCCGCGGTCCTTGCCCGTTTCCAGTATGGCCGCCCGCTGTGCTTGACCCGCGGCCTCTCCGTTCCGGCTCCTCGTAGGCGATGCTGAGGCCGAGGCCGTGACTGACACTCTCGCTTACACGCACGCACGGACCCAGACCCACGCCTGAGCCCGAGCCCTGGGCCCGGAACCGCTCT